AATTCAAAGAATTACGAAATTTTGTATGTAAGTAGAATAAGTCGGGTCTAATATATTGCAATATTTTTTCGTGCCGAATTTCACTTTGAAGGGGCGAAACCACTCCTTGAAAAAAATACATATTTTTCTTTCCCCTGGATTATCTCGAAAACGATAATAGATGGCAGAAAAAGTTTAAACAAAAAACGCATTGTTCTTTCGCGTCTATAAAATAGTAAAATAAAATTGTTCAAAAATTTAACATTTTTTTTGAAAATTTTGTTTTGTAACTTTATAGACATAACAGAGTAACGTATTTTTCGTTTAAACTTTTTTCACTATCTCTTATTGTTTTCAAGATAATCCACGGAAATGAAATTCGGCACGAAAAAAAATTGCAATGCATTAGGCTTTTCTTAGTCTAGTTACACACAGAGTTTCACAGTTTTTGGAATTTCTGGATTCGTTGCCTTTCCTTGTAAGAAAAATTTCTGCTTGAACTTGTTTACCTTCATTTGTAGTCAGTTATTTGAGTGATTACGGAAGGAATAGGTGGCGAAGATTCCTAAATTTCTAAATCTAGACATAGAAAGAACATGGAATTGTTTGTTTTACCAGTGCATTACAGTTAACGCTAAATTACTAAGCAATTAAATCGACTTTTTGAAAGATCTTTATATATCTCTCTATTAATTGATTTGCAATTTGGTTTGCGTATTGCTAAATCAATGTCTTTAACAATTTCTCAGAGAAACATCTGTTATCTTTTTAGTAATCGCAAAAAGAGGACATCAAGAATGCAACTGTCTGGTAGTTTTAGTACCAATAAGTTGCAAAAATACGGACGACTTTTTATCCTTTTAGTACCCCGAGGATTCAAGTGCATAATAATTTCAAAACATTAAAGCTATATTGAATTAAATGCATGATAGTGTGGTTTAAGTATTGCTAAATCAATTTCTTTAATAATTTCTCAAAGAAACAACCGTTATCTTTTTAGTAATCGCACAAAGAAGACGTCGGGAATGGGTTAATTCGAGCTGTCTGTTAGTTTTAATGTTAAATCGGACGGATCGTACAATATTGACAGAACGAAAAAAGATGGACACGATAGACAACAGCGATTCGACGCGGAGAAATTGACGGATTGGTGGGTCGGTTAATCTCCGATGGCGAAACATGGCGTCGCTCATCGCGCGATAACTCGATAATCCGGGAAACCGCGGAATCCGATTACGTTCGGGTCTTTTGGGAATTACTTCGGGGAACAACGGGGTCGTTCCTTTTCCTCCGCGTTTCGCGCCGCGGCGATACGTTAAGTTCGGTTATCGCCGGAGTGACGTGCCCGCTAATTCACTTCTTCAGTGTTAATATTTGGATAGCGAGCACCTGCGTGTGTACACTCTCGTTCATAAATCACCGGGCATTTACTGTTAGCGCAGTGTAGACACAGGACAAATTAACGACACGGCGTCACGTGAATTATGAAATATAATTAATTCTTATTAATCCCTTTCCAGTAGAAAATACAGGCTGTCTCGTGGCAGGTTGTCTTCGTACATGTAAAATTAGCTGAACGTCCCGTGTCGTGTTTAAACAGCGAATGTCTGTGTGAGTGGTTTTTTAAATGTCAGTAAAAACGGTTGTTAGACGATTTAATGGAATTTATACGTTCTCATGGGAAATGAATAATAACGTGGATTATGTTAAGTGTTCAATCATATGTAACATGTGTGGCGATATTTATTTTATTATATAATCTTAGGAATTAAATTGAAACTGTTGGTAATGCTGATGATTTAAACTGTTTAATGGAAGATGTGTCTTTTTATGTTTTGTTATGAGTAACGTGGGAATTTTCTGCTAAATTTTTGGTATAAACTAATTGAGAAAGTGTGCTACTTTTCCAAATTTTTATTGTCATCTCCAGCGTGATGTATGAGTGTAAAGGGTTAATAACAAAGTAGTTAAATCGATCACAGTTCAGAAAGAAATCATTGAGCAATCGGTTAAACAGTTCTGTTCAAATGTTATCAAACTGCAAAACTCGGCAACCGTTCTTACGAATTTTCTTTGGACCCGCAACCATATCGCATCGATAACGGAATTGCCCGTCGCAAATCGACTTACAGAGGTTCCTTACCGTTCGCGGCAGCGGTTTCTTTGAACTTTCTTGACAACGGGGGCGGTTCCCGCGACAAGATCGTGCCCCGTGAAAACGGGAAAATCGCTACAAAGCGGCTGGACAATTTCTACTGAGCCAAATCGATCGATTACCGGGATTATTGGGTTTCGCGATGCCTCAAAGAGTGTCCTCCTTCGCCGGGCTTTATCGATACACCGGAAATGAAACGTTACTTCCCACAATAGCCTGTCCGGTGATCGAGAATGTATCGCCACGGATCCCATTTTAACATTCGATTTCATCAAAGCGTGTTCATCAGTGTTCACAACTGATAGAATGTCCATCGTCGTTTATTCTTCTTTTTGACTGAATTTTCTTTTTATTTATGCGTTCTACGGATCGTCGATTTTATCCAATTTATTATAATGTACATTCCATCTATCGATGGTATCGACGATCGTAAACGTTATGAAAATACGAGGAAGCTTCGAATGTGATTTTCATACATTTTTACTTTATTTTCTTGGTGAAATCTGTTTCTCGTTTTTATCTGTTTTTATATTTATGAGGTTTGTAACGATGATGCTTGGGAATAATGTAGAATGTTATGTATGTGCTCTGCGTGGTTTTTGTAGAATTGGTAGTTTATGTTGTTATGCAAACTGATTTCTTCGTTTTTTATCTGGTTTATGTGTTGTGGCATTAGTAACGAGTGTTTTGGAAAAGTTTTCTTTTAAAATATTATTTTTTCATTAAATATTACATAATAAGGCAATAATTTCGATGAGATTTTTATAAGATTTTTATTAAGGATAGTTAGTGTGAAGAATAATAGGACGTTAAGAAACGTTGGAAATTTCTGTGCTGTCTTATACTCGTTTAAACATTATTCTGTATTGATTCGATTTGATTGGTGAGAATTTAAGACGATTGATATGTAGATAATTCTTACAAAATAATAGCAATAAATTAGTTGAAATTTCTACTGATGTTCATTATAATATGCAAATGAAATCATTACTTTTTAAGATAATTTCAAGTAATTAATACTCTTATGATATCGCTAATTGCAAAATAGGAAAACTGAAACTGGTCATTTCGGCTAGCACGGTAGTTTCAGCGTTAAAGATTACTGTCTAACAAGAGACCTCGGCAACTACGCGAACTTGAGAAATTTTCGAGAGTTCCTGTGACCATAACGGATCAACGGAGGAAACTTTCCGCGCGTTAGAACTTCTTTTCTGATAGAAACCATGGGGGACTGCATAAACGCGTGCGCTCCTTCTGTGAGCTATTCAAGCTTGTTTTTTCTTCGTAGTTCAACACTGCTGCCCTTGTAAGAAATAATTTCAAACTGCTCTCGGGCGCATACCGTTGAGGAACAGCGAATTTTAAAGATCAACTTCACTTTTAAGCGTTCCATTTTCATATTTTCTTGAATCCTGTAGCATTTAGCTACATCTGCACTTCTTCGTGCATTAATGTACATTATAATTATGATTTTTTAGTGGAATTTCTCATTTTATAATCGGCTGTAATATATTTACTACGGTAAATAAGAAGAAAACGTTCGAATTTGTTTATAAATATTTATTTCCTCGCTGATCAGAATATTGGCAACTTTTTCTTATAGAAAATGTTAATATATTCCTTGCATAATTTCCTTTTTTTAATCAAATGTACTGTTACCTTCGAACTTTTTGGAGACATGATAAAAATTCAATTTGAATAGAAAATAATTCGTAAAGTGTTTATAAAAAAAATAGCTTTGTCGTTGGAGTATCTTGTTTCTGGAATTTCTCCAAAAAGTTGAAAAGAAAATGACAATAATGCACACAAAGTGATTTCAAAAAAGGGTCGGAAGAATTAAGTATCATATGAAACTCTTAAAATAGATAAAACGAATTTTGAATGGTTTGGAAGTTAATTTTAACGGAACTATAATAAGTCACAGACAGCTGTATTATTTTTACCATTTCCTTATTTAATGTCTGTGCTTTATCCAGCTAATTACTGGATTAATTATCTATGATTGAAATTATATTGAAGCTGACATCGAATTAGAGGATGAGATTTGCTTGCAATTAAATTGTAATGTGTGTAACCTGTTGGTATTAAATTACCTTTCATCATGATTATTATACGTGCACGTTAACAAGCTGAAGCCTACTGATAATTGGATTATTAAGATTGCCAATTACTAGTGTTAATATTGGTTTGAATTTTAAATAATTTGTTCTTGAAACATGAAATTGGCGTGACAATAATGTCAATATTATTCTCATATTAATTAATAGCCACGAGCATTCAATTGTATACGCATTCAGCAATAGTACGAACGTATTAATTAAAGGCTGATCATTTTAGAAATGGCAGTCGATTTTCGAAGCAAAATAAAGAGTTCAGATGATTAGCAATTATTTCTAGAAGCTTTTATAAGATTCTTGAATCTTTCAAACACACATTTTTATTACACAAATTCTATGAAAATATAATAAATCATTGATAATCATTAATAACAGTGAACGTAAGTATCGTTGATTGAACATTAAGAATGATTAATCGATTGTTTATGTTAAAAAATCTTCTTCTTTATTTACAAATTACTTTGATTTACAATACAGCCTGCATATTGCTAAATAAATTCCTTGAACAATTTCTCAGAGAAACATCCCTTATCTTCTCGATAATTGCAGAAAGAAGAAATCAAGAATAGGTAATTTTGACTCGTCCGGTATTTTGAGTGTTAAACAAGAAAATATTAAATAACCAAATTCCAAAGAGAATCGTTAAACACAATTTTTCCGACCCTTCGTAATCACGACCCACCAGAGCAGGCATCATTTAAGTCACAATCAGAAATGTAACAGGTCAGTGTACCTGATAATACACTAACCTCCCAGGGGTGGTCCCTGCGGGCCACCTAGCCATCCGGAGGACCAACCTCCTGGTGTTGTTCCCCCAATGTTCTGTCTCTGTTCGGCGAGCAGGCGTACCGTCAATGCGTACGTGAGCAGCATCACGCCCAACGGTATGTAAAAGCAGATTATGCTGCCGATCAGCTTGTAAAGCGGGTCCGGTATCTGGCATGCGCCGTCCACCAGCACCGAGTCGTCGTCCTGTAACAGTCGTAAACAGGATTATTCACTTAGCGTGCTCGGAGTCGATCCTCGATAGTGGCCGGGCTTTTTCGCACGCCGCCGGATTAAGTTGGCCGCGGTGTTCCGCGGATTTTTTCGCGGCTTGCGCCAACGTCGCAGGGAATTCATGAAAATTCCGGATCCGCTGGACAAGCGGATATCAAAGCTGCTGACGCACTGGAAAATTGTGGAGTCTAATCCAGTCACAGGCGTTGCGGAGTTTTGCTTTACTTTTTGATGCGATTGTGAGTGGTTGGGGGACTTAGCGTAGTAGCGGTTAATAATTAGGTAGCAGCCTAAAGGAGTGTAACTATAAACTTTTTCATTAACTTTTATCGTTTAATCCTATCATGGGCGTTTCGGAGTTTTGGTTAAGTTTTTTTATGTGATTGTGACTGGTTGGAGGACTTAGCGAAGTAGCGGTTAATACTTAGCTGACAGATTAAAAGATTGTAGCTATAACCTCTTTCGTAACTTTAATTGAGCTCATTCAATAGGTTTGGTTAAAAAATACGTTTTACGAAAGCAAGATAGGTATTTATTGCATTGCAAATATTCCCAATTCCAGACTTACTAAATAATAAAATAAACAAGATAGCGATACGTTGCTAAAGGAAAAGGAAATCTCTCCATTCGATTGGCTAAGTGTTAATTATAGCGCTTGTTGGGATACTTAGATTGTGGATCATTATGCATCTACTGCAATTGCAGACTTGTAGAAAGTGTTTAATATGAAATCGAAATATTTGTAAAAATATTTTCACTGTTCTCTAACTAGTGGATATTCAGATATGGTAGCTTTTTATTGAGTCGTTTTAGGTGATAGTCATTGTGTCACTCCTCTCAAATTTGTTACATGGAAATAAATTAATTGTTACTTCATGGCGGATACGGCGGTGGATATATTGATACGTATATTTAATTCCAAAGTCGTAACAGAGCTTTAAAAGCCACATCCTTCATACCAGGGTAACTAAAAGATAACACGTCTACTTTATCTTTGTTTACTTGAGTGAAGAAACTCGTAGAAACAATAAATTAATGTATCCTGTCTTGCCAAAATTTCCCATATTCTTCAACGTTCAATGAGATCAGCAACGAATTGATTGGAAAACGTCCCTATTTCTGTTACAGGACACCGGAACAATGTCCCAGCGTAGTGTCGCTTCTGGCGGAAAGCTACAATCCCCACGTGAGATACGGGGCAGCAATGGCTCTAGGGATCGCGTGCGCCGGCACAGGTCTGAAAGAGGCCATCGCTCTGCTGGACCCTATGACCAATGATCCCGTGAACTTCGTACGTCAAGGCGCCTTGATCGCCTCCGCCATGATCCTGATCCAGCAGACCGAGGCCACGTGTCCGCGCGTGAAGGACTTCCGGGCGTTGTACGCGAAAGTCGTCGTCGACAAGCACGAAGACGTGATGGCGAAGTTTGGCGCCATTCTTGCGCAGGGAATCATTGATGCCGGTAAGTTCATTCATGGATTATTAATGAATAATTTCATTTCGTTTTAATCCGTTGCGGTCGTATTTTTACAAATGAAGTTCAAGACTTACCTTTAATTTTCTGATTAATTTAATGTAATGATAGATCTGTATTTCATATGAACTATTTTAATTCTTTAATTCTCATTTACAATTTGTAATTTTATATTATTTTCTTTTTATACGACCGCACAGTGAAAGTGTTCTGTCGGGTAGGGTAAGTAAATGGTTAATAATGGTGACTGGAGTTGATTGATTATTGCAATTGTTAATCTTTGGAACCTGTTTAAGTTACAGTTTGAAGAAATTTATTGAAATATAAATCACTATCTAGATTCATTAATTATTACTGTAAATATTCTCTAATGTTCGATGAACCGTAGGAAGAGTAATTATTGGCGTATTTTACGAGCTGTAGGTGATCTTACAATTAGATTTAAAACGAAAATATTACTATTCGAATTTGTGTCTAATTCAGTAAAATTTGGAATAACTTGAATGTAACATATACATCTAGTTCGTAACTAAGTAAACTCAGAGTATTGCTGAGTTATTTCGAACAAAGATAATATAACTATGCTTTATCACAATGCAACAAAAATTTTAAATAAACCCTCGTTAACTTTAGGAAGAATAAACAAATCATTTATAACAGTTAGGTAAAATATCAATGAAAATTATATTTTACACCAACTTTTCCTTATTAATTAACAGTTTTATACAATTCCAATTCAAATACAAACATAATTATTTAGGCATCTATTTGAAATAGATTTTTCTGATAAATTATGTATCTACCATATTAAACAAAAATAATAACAACAATTAATTTTTTAAATATACAGCATAAGAGAAGAATGCTACAATATTACGATATTACAATACAATATTTATAAACAAAAATTTTCAATATTTCCTAATTGGCAAACCTGAGAGACCTTTTTCTTTCGTCTTTCTAAAGTTAACGATAACCCTTCGCGTTACGGTTGTTGCGGTCCATCTGACGTCGGCAAGAACACAACACCTTTTCATCAAATTGCTCCACGGCGTTATTGCTGAGGTTATTCTTTCGCTGGAAGGGAAAGTGAAACTAAAGCTATTTCGTGGGCGTTTATCGCTCACGTGATATGCTGTTATTATTTCCACCCCCATTTTGACGTCAAAGAAAGCAGAATTCTGACCAGAAACTGCGAAAATCGACGTTCCTCTGGATTTATTGGAAACAATAAATGTGTTCCTCGTAACATAAAATAAAATATATGTATACCGAAATTTAATTACTAAAATGCTATTGATTTCGATAATTCTTATTTTTGTATCACTTTGCTTAGAAACTGGAGCCAATGAAATGTTTATTCCATAGTTCGAAGAGTTTATTATCTTAATGTTTAGTGTGAACAGAGTTTTCGAAAAGAAAATAATAATTTTGTCGAAGGTTTGTGTCGAATTATATTTTATACAGTTGTATATTTTTCAAACGCACTTGGATTATAGTGTATTTATTACGACTGATAAATTGTGTAGATGGTTATTGAAGTTAATAAAATTTCCAAGTTTGAACTTTATTACTTAAATTATACAGACCCATTAAGTACAAAATAACAAATTACTCAAATACACAAATACAGTAAAAAATATGAAATAAATTCAAATTGAATTAACCATTCAAATCTACCAACAACCTATTACATTTTCTAAACAAAATATCAACTTCGCATCACATTTCCAATCACAAAAATGCAATAATTAAAAACCCATCACATCGTCCTCGATAATATAAGTAATTCCACCCCCGCACGAAACATATTTCAAACAATCTCGCATAAACTACGGGACCAAAAAAACCTTGAACAATTTCTGTCGAAAACGAAACAAAAAAGAAAGAAAGAATGAAAAACAAAACAGCAGAAAATATCCAGGTTCTTTGTTCATCGAACAAAAAAACGATACATTTTTAGCCCATATCGTTGAAATCTGCAATCATCTTCCGTTTCTATATGACAACGATGATTGTTCCAGGTGGTCGTAACGTGACGGTGTCCCTGCAATCGAGGACAGGCCACACGAACATGCTGGCAGTGGTGGGCGCCCTGGTGTTCACCCAATATTGGTACTGGTTCCCACTGGCTCACTGTTTGGCGCTCGCCTTCACCCCGACCTGCCTGATCGCTCTGAATGCCCAGCTGAAAATGCCGAAGCTGGAGATCCGGTCGAACGCCAGGCCGAGCGTTTACGCTTACCCAGCCCCGTTGGAGGAGAAGAAACGCGAGGAAAGGGAGAAAGTCACCACCGCTGTCCTCAGCATCGCTGCTAGGACCAGGAGACGCGAATCCGAGAGACGCGCTCGTGACTCACACGAGAAGATGGAAGTGGTTAGTTCGAGGAATATCGTTATCTTTTTTCTAACCCTCTATACGCCCATGTAACTTTGAAGTCACATATCAGTATATTGGCATCTTGTTGATTTATTTCATTTTGCACTCAAAGTGGTGAATAAAATGAAATAATTAGTTAACTTTTATACGCTCAGACGTGAAAGTTTAACGTCATTGTAACTTGAAAGTTACAAAGTATATTTGTTTGATGAGATTATTGTTGATTCGTATTCATTTGTGGATATTTATTAATTTTGTACTGCATAGATTGTGTTATAATCATGAACAAAAATTCGGCCCATAGAGGGTTAATGTTCGTTTTATTTAATACCTGTCACATATATGTGATACAGTGATTCGTTTAAAGAATGGGTTGTCAAAGTGAACAAATTAAAGGTCGAAGTAAAATTGATTAAAAGTTACAAATGTAATTATATAATGCGTAATGTTTTTGAATATTGTTTCAAGAAATTTAATACTAGTTTGTTTACTGGCAGAGATTACATAATTCACTATTGCAAACTCAGTACTGCTAAACCACTAAAAATCAATTTTGTGGCGATCGATAAGAGGCTTCGAAAGTTTGTAGGAAGTCGATGATCGAGAAAGTTTGGCAACGCCTGATTTAGAGAGTCTAGTGCCACATATGTGTGATGATATTAACAAAATATGGAAAATATCCGTCGTTTAGTGTTTTTTCTAATATTCATTAGGTAGAACCATTTTTCATACTAATTCTATTTTTCTAATTGTATTCTTAAAACTTTGAATTTTCGTAGCAATCCAATAATGAATACAGTATTTAGTGAAACGATTGCAATGATTAACGATTATTATAAATAAAAGTACAAATTTATAAGTTCCATTAATATTGGCATAAATATTGGCAATCTAAAGGTAACTGCGTTATATAATTATACGATTTATTTTAATAAGGGCTATATAATCACAGGGTTTATTTATTCGTTAATTGAAATCAACATAAAATGCAAATGTCTTTTTATCTCAGATCGTATCGGGGGAAGAGCGATGTAATGGGTCGCATGTGTTAACGGTTTAATTTATTGCCGTGCATAAAAGTTGCGACATGAAAAATATATCACCGACTAAAAATGTTAAATAGCAGATTTGAAGGGACCCATTTCTTAGACGGTATTATTATTCTTTATCTACTGCACATGCAACTTCTCCAAGTTCTCCTCGGAAATGCAATTTTGATGCGCGGTAATGCATCGGTCGACTTGTAAAGAAATTTATGAACATAGAAATTAGATAGAAATTTGTTATCTCAATCATACCAGATAAAGGGAGAAAAATTGAAGTTCATATTATATTCCATTACATAAGAGTAATACATTTACGTTAAATGCATCAAATCTGCAACTTAATTTCCGGTAGCACAGAAGCTTCGTATAAATTCAAATCTGTGCAAACTGACTGGCAACAGGATGTTTTAACACACCTGCGTTAACTCTATTTTTCTAAATTACTCGTAATTGTTTCATAATCCACAGATGCACGAAGTAACAGAAGTTCTTGTCGTATTTTTTAGAAACTTCAAAGACAAATCTTCAAAGAAAATCATTACTTTAGTCTGATGTAAAACGATAAAAATAACGACATCTAAAATACTTTTAAAAAATAGTTATCCACACATTAACCCTTACATTTGCAACCAAGTAAATTCCCGAGTAACCATTTCAAAATATTCTTTCACACGATTTAGTACGTTCTCACACTAATTTGACAAAATTGCTTCAGACCCGAATTTTCTGTATATTTCAAAAATAACAAAACTCATATAAAAATATTACAACACTAAAGCTTGAACGAATGCAAACACGAGGGTTAAAAGATGTGGCAACAAAAAAGTTAATAAAAAATAACCGTTTCCCGATACTTGACCTATGACAACAGGATCCGCCAGAGACGAAGGAAACCGTGGAAGTGAAGGAGTCGTCGTCCAAGGAGAAAGAGGAGAAGAAGAAGGAGAAAGAGGAGAAAGAACCAAAGGAAACTAAGGAGACTAAGGAGACTAAGGAGACTAAGGAGACTAAGGAGACTAAGGAAACTAAGGAGACTAAGGAAACTAAGGAGACCAAGGAGACCAAGGAAACCAAGGAGACCAAGGAGACAAAGGAGAAAACTGAGAAAACTGAGAAAACTGAGAAAAAGGGCAAGGACGAAGCCGAGAAAAGCGAGAAGGAAAAGAAGGAAGCCGAGCCGAACTTCGAGATACTTCAGAATCCGGCTCGCGTTCTACGGCAACAACTGAAGGTGATCCAGCTGGTGGACGGCAGTCATTACGCTCTCGTGAAGGATCTCCAAATCGGCGGTATCGTTATGGTGAAGCATATTCAAACGGATACCGAAGAGGAACTCGTGGAGCCGGTTGCTGGTGAGTTGCTTCAACATTCTATTACCTCTCGCCGAATACTTGCAACTTCGAAACTTCGAAACTATCTTCCGAGCCGAGAATTTCCGGGGTAGTTTTACAAATACCGACTTCAGTTCAGAAATTACATACTTCCTTCGAGAAACTTGGATGAATGGGAATTATGCATTCTTCGGTTGATGAATAATTGTGGAAATTAGGAATAATAGGAGATACGAAGAGAAGAGAAGCTAATTTTCGATTGCTTGTAAACGGTAGAAAATGGAGAAGAGAAATGGAAGAATTTTATTCTTCTTGTTGTATAATGGTAACGAGTTTGGTGTTGAAATTATTGCAGAAGTTTTTAATCGATTTTAAGTTTTCTTTATATAGCTTCGAGAATGTTGCACCATGAAGTTTATTAATTTTGTAGTGAATAGTTTAACAAACTACGAATTGACTTAACATAAAAATAAAATAGAGGAAATATTGAAATATTTTGATGGGAATAGTATGTTTACTTTGGTTTATTGGTTCGTACAGAGTTGTTTGAAATACAGAAAGATCAAATTATAATAATTATAAACAGTACAAAATTACCTCAGAAAATATTACATACCATGATTACTTTCAACCTTTCACTTACCACAAAGAATAAACATTTCATAAGACAATAAAACTCAATTTACATTAACATTCTTTTCCAATAATTTGCAAACACATAGATTCTTAAACAAAAACAACAAACTATTCAATATATAAAACCTCCTAAAAGCATTCCCCAAAAATTCCCAAAGTACGAAAAACATCTCTTATTTTCTCCATTGACAATCCACATAATTATTTATACTTCCATTGGTAAAATCTCGTCCCAGCCAACAAATATTCTGTCCAAGACAAACTACTCCACAATCTGAAACTATCCGTCCCTCTTGAGTAACGTTGTTCCGTCACCGTCAAATATGTTTCCAACTTTGCCATTCCCGGTTCCATCGAGTGCACCTTCGTCACTGTCACGATCGATAAACGCGTCTGCCCCGGTAGAAGAGTAATCAACACGTCGGGGGCCATTATCACGGTTATGTTTCAGCTTTCGGCCCGAAGCCGGACGAGGAGAAGGAAGCGGATCCGCCGGTGCCGTTCGAGTACACCGAGGATTAAAAAGTATCAGCGCGTCGAAAACGCTTCCCGTGGCACCGTGTCCCGTAACAATGGCCGCCACCGCCGCCGCCGCCGCTGCACATGTATACGCTCCGTAGCTGGTTCCTTGTAGGAGAACCAGTAAACAAAAAAGAAGACAAAAAAGCAAAGCAACACCGTCGCCAAACTTTTCCTTATTTCTCTTGTTCGCTATCCTGGCAGCGATACTTTCCCCGTCGTTTCCCTTTTTCTCCATTTTCCCTCTAGTTGCATTACACTCGAGCTCACACAGTAACCGCGACTCGATATCTCCTATCGAACTGCTATCCCGTATTCCGAGCATCAATAAATATCATTTGCTTTCGTCGTCAGTGTGCGTGTCGTTTATTGGAACCCTACTACCTTCTTAGCGTAAGGACGAGTTTGTTCTATTTTCTTCTTTAACGCGTTCGCTACTGGTGTATCATGCATACTTATGTATGTTCTTACATAGGACGATTTATTAAGCTGTAAGAAGAAACAAATAATTCTTAATAATCAATGAAAGTTTTCCAAGGACTTCATTCCTTTTTAGGCACCTTTTGTTAATATACGTTCGAGAGGTAAGGAATAACAAATTATCTTTTTTTAACAAAACAAATAGTCACTTTTCCTTTAAATTTTCTGGCCAAACTTTCTGACCAATGCGTCGTTTTTGTGGAATTTAACCTATTAATTTAATTATGATTGATACGACTACTTTGCTATTAATGGTTTGTTGAAAAAAGAGAAAAATTGTAGGCATATTCTGTGTCTATGTTTACTACAAAGTGTAATTATTGATGATAGAAGAGTAACGTTTAATTTGAATTCAACAGAGGTGAATAATATTTATGCTGGTGAAATTTTGTTTAAAATTTTCGCCATGAGTCCGAAGTTACTATAAGGCAGGAGATAAATGGAATTTAAGGAACAATGAAGTCGAGTTTGTATCGTGTTATATCGTGATTTTAAATGGTAAACACGTGATAGTTCACAAAGTGTTAATCGTCGTAAATGTGTGACGCTGGTAACGAATGTGTGAACGTTAACGCTTTGACTGCCACGTTGTGTGCGATTCTTAGGCTCAAGTATTTAATTTAGTTTTGTGGTCCATCGAGTGAACTTAGTCGAAGTTTATTGAATTTATTGAATACAAGAAAATTGGATGAGTAATTATAATAAATCATTGTTGAGCGAAATCTTAAATTGTCAATTTTTTCTTTCGTTGAGTACATTATTTCAACTTTTAAACAACATTAAATTAATCATGTCTGGGATATCTATTTTATTTATTGTCATGATACTAATATAAATATTACTTTGGAGAAATTTATATCTGGAAGCCAGATTAACCAAAGTCCTTTTTATTATTTTTCAGCAGGCCAGTTGTGGTCACACATAGAGCAACACTGTACATAAAACAATTTATGTCATTAAACTGTTTGTGTTTAATATAAGAGACGGAGCAGTAAAATAGTCTGTATAACTCGATTTAAAGAATTAAATGAATTTTAGCTAGTCTGGCTTGTGGGTATAGAAATCATTTTAAAAATTAAAAATTTTATTCGCTTTGTGAACTTCTCTAGATACTTCTCTGGCAGTCAACGGGTTAAAATAGAATTTTCTACTTTCTTATTCGATATTTAGCTATTAACTGTAACAATAAACAAATGCAGGGGTAAATAATCAGTGGGCTGTGGATATTTAACTGGATTAAAATGTATAGAATTCCATTTTTTAATAAAAATATAAAATAATATAAAATACTTTTTCTTCTATTATAGATTTATTTAAATTCATTGTAAAGGAGCAAATTAATTAATCTTCCGCATCTGGTGTACTGTGCAAAATCCGCTGTCTACTGATTATAAATTTAGTTGTAGAATAAAGTAATGCTCAATAGGATATAAGTATTAAAGGATTAATTTTTTATACAACCTGAATCACCTTTGATTTTATGCGAGTAGGATAACCAAATAATTTAATGTACTAGAAAAGTGGTAAGTAACTCTCTTTTTAATAGAAAAATAGTGTTAAACTTTTAATATTTATAAACGATGATCATTTGTTACCTTTATGATTTGTAAATCATATTTCTCTTGTTTTGAATAAATTCCTTTCCAAAACTATTTTGCATATAGCTAAATAATTTCTCTTCCTTTTTTACGGTTTCTTATACCTTTTGGATAATTTGGTACCATTTTTAACAGCTGCACGAAGAGGTTATTATAGTATTACATCATTATTCTAATATTTTGCATGAAAATAAATAAAGACAGTAATTTACGAAGTCGCTACTTCATACTATCATAGATATAATAAAATACAATATATTAATATTGTTAATTTTTATATTCCATATTTGAAAGAATTTAAATATGTTACGATGTACCATCTTTTTATAGGAGCCTTTCAATCATATTATTTGCGCTTACGAAAGTTATGTCAGAAGGTAGACGAAAATATTTCTCACAATTTTTCGTACTACAAGAGTACATTTTAAAAATCTAACACAATTATTGTATATCGTATCTATACAAAAAACACGAATTTATTTAACAATTTCTTGCGAAAGCATCTTCACGATTTCACTATTCATAATTGCAACATAAAAAGTCCAATATGATCCATTTTGAGTACCAAGCAGTAGCAGCATTAAATTTACCGCGCAGTTGACTTTTCTAGTCCATTTACTATTTATTCCGCAATATTTGTCACACGAACTTTCATGCGATGACTTCTCGAATTACATTCCCGCGTGCTCCCCCGACGTCGATATCGTTCCTCGAGTCGGAAGGATTGACAGACGCCTTCGTTCGAATTTCCTATCCATAATATTTGGCCTACAGCTCGCCGAGCTATCCGTCACACATACAAACGTGCCGTACAAGTCCTCGGACCTCCGTGAACCTAAAATATGTGCTGCTCGGAGAGAAAAACCCTGTGGTCTCCTCCATTGTCCATCACGGGTGACGGGATCTGTCGAGTTAGATGTGAAAACGCGGTCCCCAATTAACGTCTGGCGTCTGGATAAGCAGCTTTTCCCCAGCGTAATGTTTTTTGACTGTTACACGGTGCACGAGTTACTTGAAATACTTCGGGAATACAGTAAACCTTGAATAATGACAACATCAGGAACTCTTTCACAGTTGTGTAGGATGAATGGTTCGTTATGCGTGCGTGCGGACGACCAGGTCTTGTTGCGACGAACCGGCGCCGTTATGTTTGAGGAAATAAGGTGACTGCGTTTGGAAAATCTTGAGTGGCTGACAGAATGCGAGGAAGAGTGTCTGGAACGGAGCGACTGGACCGTGAGAAAAGCGTGTACGTGACTGCGTGAATTTTGGCTATGGACGAAAGATGCGATTGAGAAGGGTGCAAGTGGAAGGAAGACAGAACGAATGGGGGTGTGCTTTGAAAGTAAGTGGGAATGCGTGGGCGCGGGACTATTGCGTGCGATTAGCAAGCAAGCGTTTAGATATCAGTCCAAATATATTTAATATTATATTACAATGGAAGTGTTATTAGAGAATCACTCTCCCCGTTTCAAAAGAATCCTACAAATTGAAAAGTCGTCCGGAATATATCTTACAAAATTGGGGTTCGTCGTCATCCCCACCAGGTTCCTTTTCACCACTTAACATTAAAGCTGCCGAGCAGTTACAGTGACTAATTTCTAATTTTCTATAAAAGTTAGAATAATACGTTCCTTGAGATTCGAAGGGTTGCCTAGTCTCGTATCTGTGCAAATACGCAAATTTAATTAAAAATCTTTCATAAACGTGCCTTTATAATTTGAATATTTACAAAATAAAAATTCTAAAATGGGTCGATTTGACCCGTCCGGTAGTTTTAGTGTTAACACTACAGCTGTCAGACGAGTCAAAATGACCCATTCCTGATGTCTTTGTTTAGAATTATTAAAAGGATAACAAGCAAAACGCAAACTGAATGGCAAATCAATTAAAGTCTCACTAAATGCATTCTTGGAGTTTGTATAGAGAAACTTTGAGCATATCTTTTATGCAACTTTGAATATTTTGCGGTTGCAATATTCTACAGTGCACTGCGTCTCAAAAATTGAAATGGCTAATGCAAGTGCAAACACGAGTTAACTCGTGATCGGTCAACAATGTATTAATATTACCAAACGCTTCGACTCTCAGTTTTCCTTTTTCCTTCACTCGCGTTATTTTCTACGTCCGCCATGCTAAAATCTTCGTTTCTTGGAGTAGATTCAATTCTGCCGTTTCATAATTGCACCCTCCCCATCCCGTTGACTGTTGCAATTATTCGAATGTTCTCTATACATGCACCAAGGAATTATTGAACGTGATCGCGCAAGTATTCGTATAGAACACATCGAGTACTCAAAGACGGCATTAGGTGCCCACCACAAATTAGCCGAACAAGCGCCTTACTTCAACAAGGGGCCGCTTAAATATTAAAACACGCAAATTGCTGTTTGAAATGCGAATTTCCATAAGCAGTCAGCCTTCCCCCACCACCGTCCCTCTATTATGCAAACGGAATTCACGCGCGGCATAATCCGAGCGGCCATTGTCTGCCGACGCGAAGTCGCAAATCAGACGAGTCTGTCTGTCTGCGAGAGGTAACCGCGCGGATCGAATCATCTTTCCGCTTCGCGTGAGAATAAGCCGCAACTTCCGACAAAAACAGCCGCGCGCCTCATTCGGCCTGCCAACCGACCCTCTTTCAGTCGCGTGCACCGCGGTGGTACGTTTTCTTCCGTTTCGGTCCTGTCTGCTTCACGTTTCCCCACGCGAAAATTACAAAGCTGGGAAGATCGATGAGCAGACACGGGCAGATGAGTTATTAAAAATCTATTAGCTGTACCGATGGCTGAATCAGTAATCCCATAATACTAAACGTATCGACGTTTTATATATTTGTTCCTACCGTAACTAGTCGAATAACTGGCTACAAACTAAAGGTAAACAGGTTAAAAAATAAATTATAGTGGAATAGAATAATTGTGAAATTCGATTAGTAATATTATATCAACTGGTGTAGTTAATGAAAAGATTCTGTATTATTTTACTGGTGTAGATCAGTAAACTATATTTAGCAGGCACAATAATATTTTCCATCATGTAAAGATTATAAAATTGTACCACTCGGGTCTTGGGAAGCACTTACTTCAATACAAATAGATACAATAGTTATATTGACGAGAGATTAGTAATTAGTAATGTTGATAAATCGCGATATCCGTTTCATCAGTCGTAAAACTTGGAACATTAACCCTTTGCATTATAATATCGTGTTTAAACAGAATTTAATACTGAACGTACCAACACTTTGTACATATTTATTCCTACCGTAACTAGTTGAACAATTGGTTACAAAATAAAGGCAAACAAATTAGAAGTTTTCTAGGGATACTTGCAATCCATTAAATATCTTTCTTAAAGGGTTCAATTAACACCTTGCTATAATTTATTTCTCTACTATGGTTGACACATATACTTTGTCATTAATAATTCATTAGAAAAAATAGGAAAATTCTGGGCATATCCTATGTGCATGTTTCAAGGAATACTAACTGATAACAGAAGAATAACATTTAATTCGAACTGAAAAGAACTGGGTAATATCTATGCTTGTCAAATTCTATTCAACGTCTTCACCACGACTACATGTTATCATAATCCAAGGGGTTAAAGTAAATGAAACAAGTTATACTTATTTCCTCCAGACAACCACCTTAGTATTAACCCTTTACACTCGGAAGTTTTACACTGGAAATATTCGAACATTTTCGGATGAGATAAAGACGATATTTTGCGAAACTAACTCAAAGAGAAATTATACGTACATTGAGGAACAAAACTATTTTATTGAAATATTTTTTAAATTGATGAATTATATGAGGTATAATATTAAATATCAAATTTTATAGTTTTACTGTATGAAACCAGGTGGTGAGTGAGAGTCACCTCTCGAGCGTAAAGGGTTAAAAAAACGTATGAAATAAAAGAAAAAGGCACAATGAAAAAATAAACCAACAGATTAAATCCACTTTTCCCCTGTTAATAAGTTAGCCAGTCTATCATTCCAAGCCGACTGGTTGCGTTCGAGGGAGGTAGAGAAATCGAGGAAAGCGTCGCTTTATTAAAAACGGTGATATCAACTCGTCACGTGAAGGACGTGGCTCCGAGGCCTGACCTCGAACGACGCTTCGGTACGGACTGGCAATTCATATTGTTCGGGTCGTGCGTTAATGTCAGCCGAGTTAATTGGAAAGTCTTCGGTCGGCCGGCCGGACAGGGATCGCGTTTACACGCGGAAACGTTGTTACATATTTTAACGGGGTTTAACGGGTACACGCGAGGAATAGAAATTAATCGAGCGGAACGAGCCAACTTTTCCTGTCACTGGAAATTACGGGTGTTCGCGGTGGGCAGCGCAACGCGTCGATTGTCAATGGCGCCGCGATCGGTGAACCCGAAACTGCCGGGCGAATCTGTTTGTCCCTTAACGTCGTATATTAACAAGGACCATGACACGACAGCTCACGCGCAGTATCTGTTAAAAGGGAAACTTTGATTAAATGGCCAACCTTATTGACTGTTCCCTAACAGATGATGCAAGATGAAGGATGATCATTACATTGTGGCTTCCTATGCAAACACTAATTTTTGTATGTTAACACTAAACGTACCACGACCAATCAAACGGCCAGTTTTAAAAATAGCAAAAAATTCTGCATTTTCTTTCTCCCATTTAACTTTTATGTCGGTTCTTATATTGTCCGATTGATCAGTTTTTCAATCGTTATCTTTCCTTATGTTACTCTTTTCACTGAGAAAAATGTATCGTTTAATTTGTTTACCTCTATCTTGTTACCAGTTATTTGACTGGTTACGGTAGAAATAGGTGTATATAAAGTACCGATACATTTAGTATAGTGTTAATTTATAGAATTATTTGAATGAAATAGAAATTTGTTTTTTATCTTTTATTAACCCTTTGCTCTCGAGAGATGACTTACAGTCGCGATCATATAAAAATGATAACATTCGATAATCAATGTCAAGTTTTATACAATTA